AATCAATGGAAACATGGACATTCAATGGTACTGTAGAATAGCTTTTAAATCGGACACGTGCCATTGCCGTGTTTGACAACAGGGAGGACATCGAGACCAGTGCAGCATGTTGGGCCTTCCACGGGATTCGCGTGAATGTAATATCATACACCCTCTCCATATGTATATTACATATATATATATGCTGCATATATATAATTATATGCTATAATCATGATTAATTGTGTATATAGTAAAACATATTTGATTTAAGTATTCATGGATTGATAGACAGAAAAGAAATAAAGATAGATAATGTGCTTACTGTACCTCCATATCAACATGCTTGTAAGACATTTGCAGTGATAATGGTTGTCACTACAACATTGCCAAGTACTGATCCTTTGCAAACCCTTTTTCAACAGTCAGCAGCGATTGAAACAAGACGGTCATTCTTTTGGGGGTTTTCTCACGAAAACATCTAAGCACAGGAGCACTCGGCAGTAGCGATCCGAAAAGTGATCATGCATAGGGGTATTGTAAACCTCCTTCCGTCTAGATGCCATGGTGCGTGGTTGCCTGATTACATGTTCGGAGCCGAACAAATACTGGTTGGTGGTTTGGAACATTTTTTATTTTTCCATATATAGGGAATTTCATCATCCCAACTGCCTTTCATATTTTTCAGAGGGGTAGGTATACCACCAAGCAGAATATGATGGTGTCGCATGGTTTTTTACGGGATTGCCACCGTGTATCATCTATCCTTCTGTCGCTGTTGTGGCCCTGACTGGACACTGGAACTGATGCAGCCTGGCATGGTGTGGAAACCCAGCTATCATGTCATGTAAAAAGAGTTGCAGTCCAAGATAGTCCACGGGAGATAGGTTTTTCGCGGTACAAAAGTATATAGTAACCCCCAGAAAGATAGAACAGTGTTTCCAGGATGCTATGGATAACACTTGTTTACCTTATATTTTCACATTTCTAATTGTTCTATCTATTTGGGACATCCTTTGGATTATCCAGGTTGGTTGCCCCGCCTGCAATTTATGTTTGGTGTAGACATGACCCAGAATGTGAAGCGATGCTCTAAACATGGTTAAACCTTCTCATCGCTAAAGTACGATACGGATGGATAGCAGGAGTTTGAATTTGCGCCACACATATCCTATTTAGCCAAAACTAAGTTAATACAACTCACAAGCTATGGCTAAATAATGTTAAATTACTCGTTTGCTGTGCTTGCTTAATAATGTGTTGAAACATTATTATATCGTTGTAATAGGTGCAGACACTTTTGTAATATGATGATTAATACAAACTATTGTGTATATATATACACACCATATATATAATAATAATATAATATATATATATATGTAGACATCATTCTTAGTGTATATTAAATCATTATCAGGTAAAACTACAGTTCCCCTGGTTGTGGTCCAAGGTCCAGGCCCTGATACCGAACCTTTTCCAGGCGCGGTGGATTTTTGGGGCTGGTCTGCAAAGTTTTATCCAAATATATTGCTGCTTGGAGGTAGTTTCCAAGTTGCAATGTTTTTAAAGAGTAGACGCGAATATCACTATGTGATACTATGTGTGGTGAAGAGGCTTGTTTCGTCATGTGTTGTTTTTGGCGCACGTCCCCCAACAAACTTCGCCGGATAATTTTGCTTTCTTTTTTGAATGTGGAGTTGGGTTGGGTTGTGGTATTTACGTTCATGTTAACATGCGCGATTGATGCTACGCTTCCAACTTCCGCAACTTCCAGGGACAACTCAAAGAGTTGTGAAAGTGATCTCTCAATCGTTTCCATCGATGCCAAGAAAGGAAGTTCCATCCATAAGAATTACATTTTCTATAGTTTACAGGATAAATTGAAATCTGAAAAATGCACAGGTTCACAACACCGTGGAAGGGCTTTGCTAGAACGAGTTTAAAAAAAATGCTCTAAACAGCGGGGCCGTTTTCCGGGGTGTTTTAAATGAGCATGTCTTTGTCTTTCAAACAGTCATATTATATACGTCATTTGCTGCAAGTCCTTTTGCATACTGGTGGTACAATCTTTGACTCCCAGACTTTGCTCCTTTTCTGCCGTCCCATGTCCTGTTTTTTTCGATGCCGTCCCGGTATTGTCCAGTGTCACGGCGAAATAAAATTGTAATTGTACCGTACTATTTTTCCATTTCCCTGCAAGCTTTCAATCAAGTAGAATGTGTGCAATATGGGCATGGGGTCCTGATCAAGAATGACGTTGGTTAGCTTGGACGTTGCCTTTGCTGTTGATGTTTACAATGTTATATAGTTATATTTATTAATCATGTACTGACCAGTTATTAAAACTACTTGTCATATCTTGTCATAACCATTCATAACCAGTTTTGCATGACTCGTTAATCTGTTGGAACTGGTTATTTAAGTAACTACTCAGTAAAACAATGATAATAGATGGGGGACAATCGCAATACTTCCTTATAGACTGGTTAGTTTATCATTCATTAACCATGTCCAACTTATATCGTCACTAATTACTAAGCACTCACTCTTCACTTTGTTTACCAGCTCAAGTTATTCACCAGTTCCTACAAGGTGGTGCCCCCAGTGATGTTTGTTGGTTGGTTTATAATCCCATTAACTATAATTACTAGTTGGTTTATAGTTCACCAGGTTAGTTAAGTTAGTTAAGTTAGTTAAGGTAGTTAAGTTTTTTAAGTTAGCTACTAAGTTTAGTTACTATAAATTCACCAGTTCTTCACCAGTTCCTAAGTTTAGTTACTATAAATTCATCACTTCCCAGGCAGGATCCTTAACCTCCAACTCATTAGACCTAGTAAAGCCATGGTGACGACTGGGTCCCCATTTTAGGAACCCCCATTAAATGATTATCATTATAAATTGGTATCAGTGTTTTACATTACGTATTCTTATCACTGATGTTGTTATCATTACATATTCATGATCGTTACATATCATTATCATTATTACAATATCTTGTCATCAACATATAGTAGTGGATTAACAACTTTTACCCTCTGGTAAATTAACATAGACCCTGGCAGTCATCAGGGTTGGAAGACTAGTTTCCATTATACATGGGTGATTTTCAGGGTCAAACTGTTAATTTACCAGGGGGTATAGTGATCCCCCCGACCTCGGGTCGCCGCCTGCAGGTCGCGTCGCCATGCGCAAAGTCGCTGCCGTCCTGACCTTTCTAAGCTGCGGTGCCGCCACTCAAGCACTAGAGGACACGGCACGGCAAGACGTGGACGTCACGAATTTTTGGGGGTCTAAAAGTGGGGGGAATGGCTATACTAATGTAATGTATGTATAGTAGGAACGGGCTTATAATATATGTTATAATATGTTATAATGGTAATGGTAACATATGTGAATACATGAATTAGTATGGAAACATTACTTGCAATGGCTTACCAATGGTTATATTTTAAGTGATCAAATGAGCAAAAAACACATGGGATTTGAACAAGAACAACCATGGTAGAATGGGATTTTCCATGCAGATATGGCTATGGATCAAAACCAGCCCGTTTCAGTTTGGTGATATGATGGGGGATAGTACCAGGATAGTAATTGGGATGGGAACAACATTCTAATATGATGTGTATATAATATATAGCAATTGGGAAGGATGTGCTTGGGATACAGTGGGGATATCATTCGGATATAGACGGGAAGATAATCGGATATGATTGTATGAAAGCAACAATATGCAACAATGTGTGGTGAGACCCAAACTAAAGGCCAGCATAATGGGGAACGCGATGATCAACGATGGGTTTTTTGGTGTACCCTATTTTGGACCAAACCCAAAATCAAATTCAAGTGGCACTTCGAATATAGTTGAAATGTGATTGAAGTATGAAGTATGCTATTGAATTTGAATTGTTTTTTTGTTGAACTCCATGTGGGAATTTATAATGCTAGTGCTGGATTGCAGCGATTTGACTGTGGGGAACTCTGGGAGATGCGAATTGTAAAAGAAGAGTAGCCATCGAAGAAGTAAGGAAGAATTGCGGACGCAGCACATATAAATTATATATATACACTATGATAATATCACATAATTATATATAGATATATATGGAACTACTAATATCTGAATACACTTGTATTACATCTGCTTCTTCCAGTCTGTTGTTGCCATAATTTTCTTAGTTCCAGCAGGAATGCATTATAGTTCTATCATGTGCCCCCAATGATGTAGATATGTACATTGTATACGGCCTCAGGAGGCATGTTTTCTGCAAGTGAGTCGTGAAATCAAGGTGCGTGTTTGTGCCACTGGTGGGGCGTTTTTTCAGGAAGGAGTATGCAACGAACCATTATACATAGACAATCATCTATATAATGTATAGTTTATATACATAATACATGGTATATAGATGTATGCACATATTCTATATATGTATATATGTATATATATATACACATTATATATATATACACATCATATATATATATATATATTATACACCCAATAATTGCATAGCATTATGCACGGAGGAATGGGTTGATATTTCCTTGGCTGGCCAAGTGTCGGGAGTTTCCACAGAACTCACCAGTTTCAGGACTGGATGATGCCAAAATGTCTGCACATAATGCAGGTTGCCGAAAGTTAAGGGGACCCGTTTCGGTTAGAGGGTTAGAGAACAGTTGGTCCATCAGGATTTGCATCGCTACCTCTGGCAACCCACTGATCCTCTGTGCCTGATGGCTCATGAAAAGGCCTGCCCAATATATTATGGACCATGGCAAGGGCGGCCGCAAGCCAATTTTTAGTGGCCAGGAGAGACACGTATTATTGATGCAACAATTGGCTTGCAGAATCTGAGAAAACATGTATGCACGTCAATTTGCTTATATATTCTGCTCCGAGACGAGAGTCGAAGATGAACTAGACAACAGTATTCAAAGTCGTTACAAAAATGCAAGCAAGGCTGTAAATTGAAGATATTACTGTAGGACCCCACAGGTCGACATCCCATCTTGGAATAGCCACCAGCTACACTTAGCCAAATTCCAAACGGCTCACCATGGAAGACTACGAGAATGCAAAGGCGCGCCCGCGCGGGAACATAGGCATGGACAGGAGGAGCTGGTAAGTCATGATAAGTGATGTCCATGTCCACATGACAAAGCGAAAGCCACCAGAAAAAGAAGCAAAGACCTTGATTCCACCCAGGCCGGAAACC